GCGGGGATGCGTTGTGGATGGTGTTCTGCAACGGTTTCTTTCCTAAATTCTCATTTCCAGATCGCATTTTTCCATTCACTGAATTATCATTCGTTGATTTGATGATCAACATCAGTATTGCATTACTAATCGAGAGCCATTGCAGGCTCATGCGATATGCTATCGACAAATGTCACCCGAATGTGATTTTGGTTCATTACGCAAAATAATGCTGCCGCCGAACTGTTTAACCATTCCAAGAACCGAACTACCAATGGAACAGTTGCTCAACATACACGGATCACACACCGATACATCCTATCAAAATTGTCAGTGTTGCGTTGAGCTTTCAGCATGTTAGCTGCTGCTTAAAAGTTTCCCTTCCAGATAACAACACTCATTTCAAAAGATAATTCGATTTCTTCATCTGAGGCGCATTATTAGCTCACGTCAATCAACTCTTTCACCACAAATTTATCGACAATCCCACAGTTAAATGCGATTGTCCGTGTGAATCGTCACGCTTATTCGATTGCCGTTACTTTTTTTGTTCATTGAAAAGTTAATAAATGTATCGATCGCCCGTTATCATGATGTCACATTTAGTGTCGTCACCATCAAGAATACAACCCGATGACGTGTCGTCGACGTCCGCAGAAGATCCGAAAGAGAAAGAAGACTCTGAGATTCTACGCATTTACGACGGCAATAGTTCGCTCAGGAATCAAGTTTATCGCACTGCCAGTGTCCCGAAGACAGCCTCCGTGCAATTAATTCGTGTGCGTCACCGTATCTCTTTCCATCCTTCAAATATTTTGAACTAATAAGTGCTGATTTCATCGATATTGCGAAGTGACTTTATCAGATCTTGTTCGATGGAGTTATCTTCATCAGTTCATTGTAACAACAACGGCAAACAATTCCTTATGAAGGTGATGATTCCGTTTTTAGGATATCGCTCTACGAAGGTTCCATATAACGGACAATCCTGATTCGTATTATGTTACTCAAGTGCTCAGTGATAGTGAGTTTCCTTCTTGTTCTGCATATCGCCCATCAGATTAGCAAAGTTTATTTCGTTCCGAGTCAAATGGATTCTTCAAATACTCAAAAGCTTCACATATCGCCTTGGTGAATGACGCTTTTCGTTGAGTCAGACCGACACATTACTAGTAAATTTATGGACTTTTGAAGTTTATGTTCAGATGGGGAAGAAGAGCTGTTGGAAGATCCAGTCCCAATGCGCAACGTGAAACGACCTGAAGGTCGACGAGCCCAAATTTTCCTCAGATACAAAGATGATCCCGAGAAAGCGATTGTAAAACTTTACGGTGGTTGGTTAAGGTAAGCAAGTTGAGTGTTATCAGTTGTAGAAGATTAACTCAACTATCTTCATCGCATTATGTTTGGTATGAGTAAGAATGATGGTGATTAATCGCTTTCAATGTTTTATGCATGCAACTGGAAATCATCAACTTTTATTCGGGTGGAAGTAAAGTGAGGATTTAGCACCCCGAAAAACAAAACAGTGCAATGAAACGTGCAATTTGAACCAGTCAAAACATTCGATTGAATTGAAATGTACTCAGATCCATTTCGAAAACTCTTCCCATGTGAATGAGGCTATATTTTTCTA